TAGAGCCACCTGTTATGGGGCAAGATTTCTTTCAGGCCAGAAGCAATTTGAGAGGACCTACAGGGAATGCTTGGGGCTTCTTTATCTACAAGACTAGCACTCGTGTGTGTGTGTGTGTGTGTGTGTGTGTGTGTGTGTGTGTGTGATGCTTCATGCAAAAGTATTTGAAAGGTGAATTCCAGATAACCCAAATTTAGCCATAAGGAAAATGAGGGACTGTATTTTCACAAATCTGCACAGCACTGGAAGACAAAATTCCCTGACAGTTAATTGATGGCTTTGGGCTTAGCCCTTTTCAGGCTTCAGGATGAAAAAGAGATCACCTCATTGAGGATTTTGCAACTCTAGGTGGGGACATACTCAGGCATTGGACAACAATAGCCTTACCACCAGGCCCGCCTCAAGAAGAGTTGCAGAAGTGATAGAAACAGATGCCTTATCTGTGGCAATGCCTTATCTGTCTGGCAATCTGGAATGAAGTTCTATGAAGGTGACTTATAGGCCAATAACTCTAGACTGAAGCCAAAGACCAGCACTATGTCCTACATACCTCTAACCCACATACACACGGGGCTAATTGCTAACAAACGGGACACGAGGCCCCTAATCTACTATATGAAAGCAACTGAGATAAGCAATGAGTATGCTCATTCTTTAACATGGAGATAGATTTCACCATCGAGTGAGACATCTGGCACTCAGGGTTCAATTCAGGAGCTACTTCTGGGCACACGGCAATTATACGGTCCTGAATAACTCACTTTTTGTGCCTCAGTTCCATCATCTATAAAATGGGGCTGGAAGAGGAGAGAATACTACTTGACAATACAGTATATTCTTCTGTAGCTACTGCAATTTGGGGGGGAAAAAGTCAAAAATCCCTCCATTTTTCAGGGATCTGGAGAACATTTTCCTTAGGTCTATTAAATAGATAGAAAACACTGGGCCACTTCTCTCAGATTGTTTTGTAATTAGATGGGGTTCATAATGTATCTTCAAACAAGAGAAAATGGAGCTTTCTGATTGTATCAGTTTGATAACCGTAAGCAGTTCACAGTAAGGTAAGAAGGTACATTTTGGCGGAAGCCAGCATTGCATTTGATGTATTCTTAACTCAGCTCACAGGCAGGCTTTCAAGCCATGTTATCTGCCCCCACATCTTGACCTAATTTAACAAGTTGCCATGGGAGCCCAGTGAAGGTTGATGCAATTTTCTTATCTTCGGAGGAAGAATGTAACTGTGCAAGAGAATGTGAAAATTCAGTTTCTAACTGATTTCCACACGTACAGTGCAGTAACTAAGACATCATATGAAAAAGTGAAATGTATTCCTTTGAAGGTGATGCAGACAAAGGCCCCCCGCGTGTAATGGCAGGGAAATGACGGTCTTCCCGAAGGCTCTGTGCAAACACACTGTAGTCCATGCCAAGCAACGAGGAAGTCAGGGTGCGAGTGCTCCCATGGTGTGGCCACACATACTCTCGAGTAATCGGATTTTAAGGGAATGAACAAAAAGGAGGCAGAACTTGAGATAGAAAAGAGGTCTGACTTTTACAGGCCATAGAAAGTTTGCCAACACTCATACGATGCGCTCCGCTTTCCAAAGCACTTTTCCATACTTTAGCTCATCCTCACATGTCTGCACACGGTCAGAGCCCCATTTCTAGGAATCCCAGGCACTGCAACCTTCTGGGCTGGTGGCGGGGGCTGTGCAGGGATGTTCCATCCCTCCCCACTCCCTAGGATGTACCTGGAATCATTAGGGACCACAACGAGGGTGCAATGTGAGGGCAAGGGAACCGCTAAGTAGAAGGAGTTTGCAGTGTGGACAGATGTTCGCCAGGCACTGAGCCCAGGAAAAACATCACCAAAATTTGGGCTGCCCCCCACGTGCCTGACACAAAATCCTGACCTTCATTCAGACCACAACATGAAGAAAATCCAGGCCAAGTCTAAGGATGATTCTAATATCTTGAATGTGACAAGATAATGAACCCCCAAGGGCAACTGGCCTTTATCTACACTCAACATGTGCTCAGAAACATTTGCTGAAACAATGGATTTGTTATAACTGAGCTCCCCACACCCCACGTCTGGTACAATGTCTAGCACTCATTAATTAATTGATTTAGTTAAATTTCATTTTCACAGATCTCCCACCACCAAGATAAGGATGAACACTTCCACTTCACTAAAAGTAGAAAACGGTACAAGGTAAATTTGCCTAAAATCACACAGTGTGCTACAGCTGGGGGGGGGGGGGGGCGCGGCCCAGGGTAGTTCTGTTTTCTGGGCTATTGTTCTTACCACCATCCGAGATGGTGTGAAAGTTATATCCCGAGGGTCAGAGAGCAACACTGGATAGTGAGATGCTTAAAACATGCTTTTTAATTCAAGGGCCTACTTTAGTCATTGAGGCCTTTACCTGAGAGTCACCTTCCCTTTTCTTCCACTCACTGACTGTTTCATTCCCTTAGATAGAGAGACAGAGAGACAGAGAGAAGAGAGAGACCGAGGGAGGGAAAAAGAGATGCAACTTTTAAAAACAACCCATCTGAGGGCACCTGGGTGGCTCAGTGGTTGAGCGTCTGCCTTTGACTCAGGGCGTGATCCCGGAGTCCTGGGATCGAGTCCCACATTGGGCTCCTGCGGGGAGCCTGCTTCTCCCTCTGCCTGTGTCTCTGCCTCTCTCTGTGTCTCTCATGAATAAATAAATAAAATCTTTAAAAAATAAATAAAAATAACCCATCCAGAATGAGAAGTGACATCCACTATAGCTCAGACCTCCAGGACACACCTGTCTTTTTGCTGAAAGAACTTTCTGAGGCTCTTATCTCTCTGGCTCTGATTCTGGACCACCAGAGAAGCCTTTCGGGTAGCACCCTGGTGTTGGCTAACTTGAGGGCAGTTCCTGTCTCAAATTTGTACTTCCTATGTGTTCCTAGTTCTTAGAATTTCTAATTCATCCCTTTCTGTCTCGCTGTGAAACTGGGACACTTGGAAAGATTCTCCAACTTTCAGATAATTCTTTCAAGATACTAAGATCATCAAAGTCAAAACACTTTAAGTCACCCTTGTAGACCATTAGCTCTGCAGGCTTCTCCCACATAGAAAATGTGTAACTAATACATGTAATACTTTCAGAGGGGCTTCTATCTGGGGTGGAGATCAGCCTTTTGCCCTTCCCAGAAACTTCTAGATCTTCAGCAGTGGTAGCCAGGGATCCTGACCAGAATCTCATTCCAAGAAGGATGACCTCAACCATAAGGCTTCCTTTGGCCATAACCCAGACTTTAGAAATTAAAGTCAGTTTACTCAATCTCATTATCCACAAAACCACCCTAAGTAGCAAATTTTTCATTATGTCGTACCTAACTGAGAGAGAATGATGAAAACTGCCATGGGAGAACAATGGTTGTGGCTGCCTGTGGTTATAGGGGTGATGATGCCAGAGAGAATACAGAAGTACTTCCAATAAGGACAAAGTCAGGGTGGAAGCTGTGGAGGAGCCAGCCTTTTAGCCCTGGCAAATGGCAGACATGACGAGAACAGAAGCAAGCGCAACCCAGTAGAGACACCACCACCTCCAAAGCCCACAGAGTCCTGCGGTAGGTTCCTTGGCCTTTCCCTTCTCCCCCTTATTAAACTGCATTTTTCCCTTCCTTCATCACTATCCAACTGGAGTCTGGACTTAAAATACCTAGGAGCTAAAGCTACAGAAGCCAGCATTCTTGCACATCTTGGAAGAGACTGAATGAATATGCATTTCCTCCTCCCAGACATCATTAATGGAAAGGGGCCACCTCTGTAACAGTCTGCTGTCCAGAGATGGGAGAGGACTCCCTTGAAAAGTAGCACATTTCCACAGACTAGCAACATTTGAACAAAGACTATGGGAGGATCCAGTCGAAAGAACAGGGTAGGGGACCTTCAAGTGCCTTTCTGGGTCCTGACTCTACATAGACGTTGTCACTTCCTCAAAATGCAGAGGTAACTCCTGAGCACCTCTTCGCATTAGGAGCTATGTGGAAGGCAGCATGAAAGGCACACTCCTGATCTTTGAAGGAGTAATTTCTCTAAGCCTTTCCTAGTAAAACCCTGAGACTTCCCATACACAAGAATAAGGATCAGATAGGTCCCTCCCTAGAAACACAGGTAGCATTGTTTGCCTCCATCCACACAAAGGGTCCCCACATGTCAACTTGCCGAGGGCGGAGTCAATTATAAGACAATAGCGGCCTACCCCACAGCTGAGTCATCAAAGCTTAAAATAAGCTCCACTCACAACACAATTTCCAATTCTTAGAAAACACTACGATCCTACAGGAAGGATTTGATAGTTAACACGTTAATGCTCCTTGGATATTTCTCGGATCCACTCTTCAAATGTCTCCAAGCGTAGGCAGCACACATGCTAATGACTCCTTCAGACAATGAATTGTTTCATTACCAGATTCTCAATCAAAGCCTAAGCTCTCAACATACATCTTCCTTTCCCTATGCTCTTTCTTTATTCACCACTACTAGAACTTTCACTCCTCAAAGAAAATCAATACTAAAGCTAAATGAGGGGGAAAAATAAACACACATACACACACACACAACAGTTTCCTAGAGAGGCAAGGATCTGGACAGAGTATGGGGTGACTGAGGATGCTTTTTCCATCTGAAGAGCTGGCCTACTGAGGACCCTACTGCAGAAGAATCTGGAGTGTAAGCCCTGCAATGATGCCTTTGAGAGAGAAGTTCTTTCTACCACTCTTGGAAATGATCCCCTGGGAGACAGAATGATACTGTTTACTTCTAAAAATCGATGGCTAGTCACAGAGTGCTGTGAGAGACTGACCAGACCTCCTAGAGTCTTCTTCTCCCCACTCCTCCGAAATAGAGAGAGGTGGACTTCAGTGCCTAGGAAGATGCACTTGGTGCCTCCTACGGAACGGAGCCCACCCATGGCCAAGAGCACACAGAGGCTGCGGAGACAGGGACAGGGCACCTACCTGTGTAGCCAGCCAGGGCAGCAGCAGGGATGACAGGCTTGTCCTTGTTGAGGTCAGCACGGTCACGCACATAGTCCTTGAAGGTGCCCTTGGGCTTGTGGTTGGGCAGGGCGGCTGGATAGTCCTCTGAGTCGAAGCTGTCATAGGAGGGGACGCGCTGCAGGCTGTTGAAAGATGACTGGCTGCTCCAGGACTGGGTGAGGCGGTCACAACTGTCGTAGCTCTCCACGCTCTCAAAAGAGTCCTGGCCCCCGAGCTTACCTGGAGGTGAAGGAGGTAGGAAAAGGGCAGGGGGAGGAGGAATTGGGAAAAGACAACTGTAAAAACCCTCTTGGTGAGGACGGATTGCCAATCAGACCCGCAGGAGGGATGGAAAGAGAGGCCAGTGGAAATGGAAGCTTATGGGCTGAGTCTGGGGAAGGACGCCACCGTGGGTCACAATCTGCAGGCCCACGGTCACTGTGCTGTTTTATGTTATAGGCCTGAGGACAGAGATTCAGCTGCAAGCTGCTCATATCTGTCAGAGGGAGACACCAGTGTTTGGGGCCTCAAGATCCCTAGAGCCGGAAATCCAAAAGTGGAGCATCACACATGATATTACGGAATTTCTGGCTGACGTAGTAGACTCAGCAAAGAGATGAAGAAATCGGAGCAGTGTCAGCCTCAACTCCCTATTCCAACTCAAGCCAACGAGTGGATTTCAAAAGGCCCAATTTGGCAAAGTAGTTTGGTCATAAGAAAAAATATTCCGTTAGACTAAGAGCAGCATGACCTTCCTTGACCTTGGAACTTAAGTGTCAGTTTTTAGCATTTTTTTCCAAATACTATTTTAAAACGAAATATACACCCTGCCTCCATGCTTTCTCAAATAGAGAAATAAGTTATGAGATGCTTTTTCCAGGAGATTAAAAAAACACACACACAACCACTATCACTCTTCTAAATAGAAATCCAAGTTCTTTAGCCCCTCCAAGTACAATTTTGTACTTGAAATTTATACTTCACTGGGGGAGTGTGGGCAATAAAACACAAAGGAGTTGATTAAAGAGTTAAGGTCCATAGCAATGTCAGAAATCCTTTACTCTAAGAGTTGCTTAAGGCATTCTTAACTGACCACAAGATCATGCAAGTTCATTAATTTCCCAAACCAGGTTATAAACAGCTGCAACGATTGCATAATAGCTCCTAGAGAAATTTCCATTGGCAAAAAAATAATAATAATAATAATAAAATGCCATGAAAAGGGAGACTAACCAAAAAAATAAATAATTTGGAGGAAAATAAATGTATCTAAAAGCTGAAAAGCTCAAAGGAATATTTTTGATGTTTCCTTCTCACTTTTCAGGCAACCTAAATTAAATCACGGGAGTCTACATGAGCATCTCAAGTCAGCACAAGCCAAGGGGCAAAAGGATGTGACAAATGTGTATGTAGAGCTACTAAATCAGCTCTCAATTGTACAGGGGTGGCTGGTCCTACTATAAAGTTTAAACCCCAGAATAAGGTTGGGTGATATAAGCTAATAGGGGTGGGTTTCTGGCATAGTCTCCCCCTCATAATACTAGGGATTGGTTAAAACAGTGGAATTCAAATATTTAATTATGGTGTCCAAACCAAAATTAAATCTACCATAATTAGGAGGGAAGATACGTTGCTCATAAAATTTAAACAAGCAACCAAAAAATCCAAGATAAAAGGTATTCCGTTAAATATATACTTTTCGTAAAGCCCCTGTTGTAGATTTCCTGAACCTCTTATCCCCTCCAATACTGCTTTTAACAGAAAGGTATTTATCCACTTAATCTCATTCCTTCCTCAAACCATCCATTCAAAGAAAAATAATCTCCAGAAGGCAAACTGAAGAGCTCCATGGGTTACTGGCACCGCCTACCCAGTCCACTGGCACATTTGTTAAGTTTTTTATTATCATAACGAATGAAAGAATTGTCTTTTCCAGAAATTCACATGAAGAAACTCAAGAAAACAGCCTACAACCAGAATGCAATAGCCTCTTTTTAACAGAAAAAAGGAAATGTTGTGGCATCTCATAAAAAGGTGCTTGCTTAGACCAGCTACCCCTCTTAATGGTCATCCCACTTCTTTGTGAGACAAACCCACCACCAGCCTAAGAAAGAGAAGTCATCTCTTCGTGAAGAACACCCCACCACGGCACCAGTATGTAGGCAGTATTTATGTTCCAATCTCTCTCTGAAACGATTCTATCTCTATCAGTCACTTTTATATTTGGCACGGAGGGCACGGAGACTGGAGTTTCCACAAGTAGGAGAGCCGAGTTTCCAAGGAGCCCCAAGAAGCAAGGGCACTAAACTAGGCCATAACCACCCTCTGGCAGCCTCTCAAACATGAGCCAAATGTAACTCTGTTGAGAGCTGCGGTTTATAGCAGTAGGCTGCTTTCATTTTAGCTCTATTTCACAATCCTGGAGCTGGGAACCTTCGTTTACGGGTATTCTCTCCAAAAATGGGTTGAATCCAACTGGATTAGGCACTCAGTTAGGCTACTGTGCTCCTGCAGGGAAGCATGTGTCCTCTCAGACATCCACTGGCCAGCTTCTCTGTGACAGGTCTCAGAGCACGGCCCTTCCAGAGCCATCTGACTCCCCCAAACAGACCTCAGAGCACTCTACATAGCAGACGGGGTGGCCCCACAGCAACCCGCTGGACATACTGGCACAAAGACAGTACTCAGAGTCCAAAGACATGGGACACAGAAGCACTTTGTACGCTACCATGCAGTACACGGGCACCAGGATGATTGCTACTAGTAATCAGCTAGCGGTGAGGCCTTGGGTCTAGCCAACCACACCACGTCAGACGCGGTCAGCCCCCAGAAGATGTCAGGTCTACAGGACTCCTCACGTGCCAAAGCAGCCGTGAACAACGAGGTCTTCCTCTCCAGTGCACATGGCCGGGTTGTTGCAAGGGACGGGCCGCGAGGTCAAAAAGAAACACTGCGTGCCCCTTGGTGCGGGTCACTGTCTGGTCCACAGTCACGGACATGGGGTTGGAAGGATGGTCGGGACCAAAACCCAGAACCTACAGAAGGGGCCGGAGGAGGGACAATCCCACGAAAGCCAAGCCAGACGCGACTTAAAAACAAGGAGACAGCAGAGCTACCCAAGTAACGCCGCGGATGGGCCCAGCCCTCAGACCCAGTCTCATCACCTAGATGTACATTAAGCCCCAAGAGAAAGAAAGTCATTTTGTTGCTTTGACCTGCCCGAGAGAAAAAAAAAAAGATACACATACATACATACATGTGTGTATATATTTAAATAGACTTGTATCCAAAAATAAAAAAGTCAGAAAGGGGAAGGCAAAACTGGTCCCACCCATCCCCTTCGGTCTGAACACAAACACCCTGGGGCCCTGAGAAGGAAGATTGCAGGTTCAGATTTTGCTAGGGACTTTCCCTCTGCTCATCCTAGGGCCTGCTGGGAGGAAGCGTGAGGCTGACACTCGAAGAAGACGACAATGTGTATGGCCCCCAGTGCCTGTACAGTGATTCTTCAAAGTAAAGATGTCTTTGGGCTCCCTCCTGAGAGACTCAGAAGAGGCAGCAGGGTCAGCGCTGAGCAGAAACCACTACGGGGCCGGCCAAGCCTGCCTTCTGTGACCAAATGCCTCAGAGCGCTGCTCACATGAGCTTCCTCTGTTCCTCTTCCTGTTCATAGCTTTTTCCCCTAGATCCACTGGAAAAGTCTTTTTTTTTTTTTTTTTTTTAATTTCAACTCTCTAGAAATCGGCTAGTTCTTCCTCGATGAATGAATCCCTCCTTACAGAGGACTGCACTTTTCTCAGACACAAAACAATCTGGACATCTGTTTAGGCGGGCTGCACCCCTGAGCGTTCATGTCCTGATCTTAAATTTGGGTGTACTTACCCTTTTGGTTTTTGTTTTTTTTCTTTGCTTTATAAAGTCAGTCAGTTCTATTTTGAAACGCTTACTTCACTGTCAGTGAATATTTTACCATTGTCATAATAGTCATGTCAACAAGAGTACCTTCTTTTGGAAGCCTCTGGCCACCTCTTTCCCTGGTCCTCCAGCTAAATACACACTTTCACCACACTGCTGATGACCGGTTCCAAATAAACCGTTGGTTAACCATCTTGTATCTTCCCAAACCAAAGAAGTCACAGGAGGCTAGAGAGCCCAGGCTGGGAAGCAGAGGTCACCCAGATACCAAGCCGGGGTCTGCAGTCTGACATGGGATTACTCTGGGAGGATCACTAGGATGCATGGGAAGCTAAGGGCTTTCGAGGAGGGTCACCTGAACTATTTGTGCCTTCCCCAAGCAAAATGCTCTCAAAGAAGATAAATCATACCTTAAAAAAAACAACCATCTTCAACTAGACTTACCATTTAATAAAATGTTTTACCCAAATAATTCCAAGTCCACCATGGACACATGGTCTTTGCCATCACGGTAGACTTGGCTAAACTTCCATGTTGGAAAGGTCTTAATATCTAGACATTCTAATGGAAAGGCTGAAACTCAGGGCCAGTGGCAAAGAAAAAAAATGGGACCTGAAAAACTCATAGTCTGGTAATTCTTGGAAACCCAAGAGCGCCTAGAGGAGAAATCTGACCTACCACGACTGGTCCTCCCCATGCACATGTTGTCTGGGGTTACAACTTCTTGTTTGATGGCAAAGTAGTCAGTCTGCAAGGTGTCTGTCTGCAGAGGGTCCCGGAGAATGACCGAGGGGTAGTCGTTCTCATACTTGAGGGAGAGGAGTTCCTCCGAGCTGATGGGATGGAGTGTCTGGTAGGACTCTGTGATGAAGCTAGGTTCTGAGAACTCCGAGGGAGGAACGCACTGAGCATGCTCGATACCATAACCTGGAAACAGAACGTGTGCCGTTGGAGAGAGGGCCAATTTGTACCCAAAATAAATAGGCGGGTCTTCACCATTCACAACAGCCCCACAAGATGAAAACAAACTCTGCCTCAGAGAATGAAAGGAACATATTTTCAGTGAGAAGGGCCTGGGTGTTTAACCTTGCTCCACTACTTAACAAGATACTTCCTTGACAAGATAACTTCCCTTTTCTGGCTTAATTTACACGTCTCTAAAATAGGGATGATTGCAATCTCCCTCAGAGCATTGTGATGAAGAGCAAATGAGGGCATATGTGTAAAAGGCCTACCAATACCTCTGGCACATGATAAACTCTTGGCATCTCAGTACTTAATATCATTGGTGTTATTAGAATAAAAATCATAATAAAGTAAAAGGGTAAAATGAAAACAAACCTGCTCAAGACGCCGTTTGAAAGCAAGGGCACTGGATAAGAACAGCCCTACCCTAATGCTCTTCTGGCCACCTCTCCAGTATAGTTACGTATCATCTATTAGAAGGGAGAAGGCTTTGTTTTCTGTAATGGAATCTGAAGCTACATGGCACAGTCTCGAGGAAGGATCAGAGGCAATGTTGTCATAGCTACTAGTAAAAGGGAAAGAACAAGAGCCACAACCAAATCCCTAACCCAAACCTCTGATGGCCACCAGGGCGCACAGCATCAAGTAAGATCAAAGTTCAGGGATCAAGTCATGGGCCCCCCACATGGTTTTCCTGCTGAAGGTATCAGGAGAGATCCTGGTGTGTAGTAGTTTGCAGGTTAATAAACATATCAACATGTAGCTAGGTTGAAGCCTCGTGCCTCGTGGAGATAACAAAATAAGTGACAAAGAGGCTACATTTAAGCCAATATTATTTTCCAGAGAATTACCACAAAACAGCCTGAGAGCATCTGGGTCAGGAATCCTCTCCTAGGTTCCCACCATAGCAAGCCAAACGAGAGAAGAGTGGAAGAGGAACTTACTAATGAAGTAATCCGAGGTATAGCGGGATTCTGGATAGGTAGGGTTGACTCCATTCACTTGATACGGTTTCACATCCTCTGTAACAGACGGGGCAGGGAACCAAACGAAAAGGTCAACATGCAAGTAACGTTTGGCCTACGAGGACCTTGGACACAAGGGCCGCAATGATCTCAGTCCCTCTAAGAAATCGGCATGTTCATTAACTAAGCTGGTGTCTGAGTCTACCCTGACTAGGGCCTTGTCTAGAGATGAGATCACAAAAGTATGGCTAAGTCTATTATTTCAGTAGCTGCAAAATGGGATTTAATATCTTGGAAGCAGCACCAGTGAGTAATCTCTAAGGGTTGGGAAGGCATCCCACCCTCATTCTGATGCACGCATGTAACACATTACCATCAGAGGCTTCAAGACATCTGGGGAAGCTACCCCAAATCGGTCCCCAACGTTCCAACTGATGGGTTCCAAAATTTTTTCAGAAATATATTACAATCTTTAGGTAGGTAGATTTTATAGCCTCCACTTCTTCCAAAAGCTGTCTAGTTTTTGGGTTGTTTTTTTTCCATCACCCCCAGATTTCAAGGGGTAGGCCCAGAGAAGAACAGGAATACTGGGAAGGTGACAAGTTGGTGGATATGGCCGGGCTCACACAGAGACAGAGGACAGTATCACCAACTGCTGTTGGCAACCAGGTGCCACCTCCCCTTGGAATGAGAAAGGAATGGAGCACAGACAGGCCCTCAGCCAAATTAAGGTGAGCTCGAGGATCCTCTCATCACCCTGGAGCCCAATGGGTGTGACCTTGACCATTGTATGGAGTGGTCTGATTCTATTTCACTGCAAATCAGACATAAAGAGGGAGTGTTGGCTTGTTTTTTTTTTTTTTTTTCCCCTCGGGTATCTGATAGCTCGTTGGGAGCACAGATTGCTGGGAAAACAAGTTTATGCCTGCACAGAAAAACAGTTCCCAGTTGAGATAAAATGATTAAGCTTTGCTTTAGCAGCTTATCAGATTGAAACATCCCTGTACCTTTGGCCCTCCACCCCACCCCACACAGCTATGTTCTGGGGCCGCGTTGCTCTAGTTTAATTACAGAACAAAAGCAGTAGCCGCCATGCAAACTTCTTGCTGTGGCTCTTCAAGGATCTAAGCAGATAGGGTTCATACTGCCTCTCCCAGATGAAAATGGGTGGGATGATGGGACTTTGGTTCCCCAACATTCTCAATGATTTCCTGATCTGCCTGCATTCTCTCAAACTGTTCCTCTGCAGGAAGGTAGGCCACACCTGTCTCAGGGGCCCAGACGCTCCCCCACGAGTCCATATTATTACACAAAGAACGCAGGGCAGGAAGTTAAATCGAAGGGACCCAAGTTTAAGGAAATGAGTGATCTTGAGGAAACCACCTAATCTGTCCTCGTTTTACAGATGAGGACACCAAGAGTACATGCCCCTCTTATCTCACAAGGGCTGCTTTAAGAATCCAAAGAGAAAACGCATCTTCAGGCACTCTGGAAACCAGGAGCTGCCACAGACTTATTAATGGCAACTGTGATCACAGCCCCTCCAGCGCACCTGGTCGCTCCATGGAGCTAAGTAGAGGCCAACAGCGTATTAGGAGAATATATTTGGGTTACACGGTCTGGTAGGATCCACTGTTGTGTTTATACGCCAACGGTTACATCGGATGGGTTATGAGACTGCCCTATCTTTTCCCTCTATAAACAGGTCACTCATGTCAACACACAGGAGTGGGCGTGTGTGCAGTTACGCGGATACCAAGCTTCAGGAAGCCTGTTCCCCCGCCGGCCTCAGCGGTGGCAGCCGCAGCAAGATTCACCTAGTTCTTGACTGTGTTTATTTATTTATTTTCCAGCAGAAGCTGAAGAGAAGGAAGAAAGATAACACTCCTGGGCCCAGAGGAATCTAATTTGGAGCTCTCCTGAGCATTGTGGGGTGGAAAATACCCTGAAACAAAGGAAGGTATTATATGGACTAAAAGTGTTAATCCTGAGCTTTGCTCCCTGCCCCCAGCATCTGCGCCAAGGGTTGGAGCGGGTGACCACAGGGAAAGGGTGGGCCTGGGTCAGGGAGGGCAACGGGCTTCTAGGCTTACAGTCAGCTGGAGGGCACCGCTGACTGCTGGTAACTGCAATTTATTTTAAGAAGAAATTCAGAAAAATAAGTGCAAAAACACCCAAGTTTGCCGCCTGCTGCTGTTTCTATACTCAGCCAGGACTGTGGTACATGAGTCACTTGGTCCAAAAAGGTTGGAAGAGGCTGGTAGGGGAGGCCATGTCATTACAAGGTTGCAACACGGTATCCTGATATAACCCCAGCTGCTGCTCCAGATGAAAAAGGTAGCCCACACGACTGCAATTCCACCCCAGGTAGGGGGCAGAGAAGCCAGTCTCAGTAATTAGCTCTGAGAAGCTAAGCTGGTGGATGTGGACAGGTGTCACACTGCCATGGATCAAGGGAATGTGTTTTCAGGTGGCCAGGAAAACAAAAACAACAACCAAAAAAAACCCCGCCTGACACTGCTCGAAGAGCATAGGAGTCTAAGGTAAGGACTGGGATCAGAATTTTGCATATCAAGAAGCTTTGGGGGCGCAATCTTGCGAAATATTAAAATCTGAACCTCCAATACGTAAAAAGAAAAAGAAACTGACATTTATTGAGCACCTGGCACATGCCAGCCTGACGTGTCTCGGCAGACCCTGTACACTGTGAGAAGACACCCACAGGTAATGGCATCGACATCCCACCAGGGGCATGTTCCCCTACCTACTGCTGCAGCAACCCCACGCAGCTTCCACCTCGCTCTGTCCCCACACCATTACCTTTCTGCAGGATCTCGAGATGTTCCCACAAGATGTCCCCAACGAAGTCTGGGGCCAGCTCGAGAAAGCAGTCTTTCCCTAGTGCGCAGAGGGCTGCTCCATTCATACAGAACTTCTGGAAGTCCACACCTTTCAGGCTGAACTCATTCACAGCCCACATCACCCAGTCCCGAACATGGGTTTCTGTCCACTGCCGGGGGTCTGAGGAAAGGGATCAAAAGACAATCCAGCAGGTCAGCTTTTACCTCTTGCCCCAGCATCAGGGAGGACATTCAAGGATCTGCACTCGCTGAGGATGCTTTTCTGATTTACAGATTTAGGAAGCACCAGCCCTAGAGGCACGTCGCGGGGCACCTTCCATAACACTCCTCCCCACACTCAGCATCTCCACCTTCTCTATCCTGCCAGCTAGGAGGATCACTACCATCAGCCAAAACGTAATACATGAATAAGTCTCCACCCTCTATTCAGACATAAATTCATGAATCTCCTCTCTCACTGCCTTATTTTCATGAGGCTTTTTTTTTTTTTTAAGCCCAGGACCAAGGAACAAAATGACTCCTTTCACAAAAATAATAACAAAGTCAAATGTGTTCTGGAGATTGCACTTACCTACCCCTGCCCTTAACTGTCATAACTGACCTGAGATGTTAGCATTAATCATTTTTATCTTAGCGGACTGTGGCTAGTAATAACCATAGCAACTAGTAATAATAAGTCATTCAAGTGGTACTTAGTCATGATAACATTATCAGGTGCCTGTATCCATTATACCAGACACCCTGCAAGAATGGGGCACATCAGGGACCAGATAACATATCCTCTTCCTGCGGGGCCTGAGGTTGAACATGACTACGCCAGTGTGGTCCTTAGAGAGCTTGGAGGATGGCAGGCAGGCTGTGGTGCTCACATGACGCCTGCTGTCCAGGTTCCCCCCCCCCCCACTTCCATCCAACAGATGACTTCATGAGATGCTGGGAAAACCCAGGGGTCAGAATTCACTTTCTTCTGCTTTGTGATCCTAATAGGATCCTCACTGCTGTCAGCTAAGGTCTGTAGTGACGTAGTATATACATGAGAAAAGGTTTGGAGGTATATTCACAGACTGACTAAGATGTGGGTCTGACTGGGCTAGGAGCTGTGGAGGGCATTACTCTTACTCAACAGAAAAGTGTTCTCTCCACTCTCAATTGTTCGGGAACTGTTGCTTGCTGGAGGCTTAAGTGTTCTCCAGTCATTTGTCCTCTCCGACAACTCCAGTCCCCTTACATTCCTGAATAAACCCTTTCAGATGAGAACACCCAAGCATAAACATATTTCGCCAAAGCACATGGAAAAGAAAAGAGCAATCAGTTAAATTCCAAGGAATCTAGCTCACTGGGTTCATCCAATGATGGCCCAAAATGACTCTAAGACTGTGTTTTCCAAGATTGACTGTGCTTTGGAATTACCAAGAATTGCAACTTCTTGGGTCTGGGACATGGTCCGGGCTGTGGAATTTTTTGAATATTGTGAATCTCATGTGCAAACAAGTTTGGGAACCACTGTCCTAAGACCAAGATGGCAGTGGCAAAACCTGGGAGATGGGGAAGCACTGGCATGTGCCTACGATGGTTGGAGCAGACGTCTGCAGGCAGTGGCAGGTGCTGTCCGACGTGTGCTTAGTCATAATGTCTACCTCACACTACAGCTGAGAAAACCAACCTCACCCAAAAGTCTGATCCCATCCCTCTCTTTTCCCATCAATAAAACACACCTTTTGGAATTCCCAGTCGTTGCTGTTCTTTAGAGAAACCACTGAAAGTAGCTTTCAATGCCTGAGACATCATTTCTTTGCTGCTTGGAGTTAATAGTGGTACATCAGCACATTCCATATCTGTAAGGAAAAGAAATGCCGTATGAATAATAAAAACAACACAGGCGATGAAGCTTAGCTCATCTCACTGCGGCCATTAAGCAACAGATACAAACAGCAAATCATTATGTTGTACACATGAAACTAATATATGCTAATTGTATCTTAATTTTAAAACTAATAGGCAGTTAACCACCCATAAAATACGATAGGGCATGAATGGCCTGAAGAAGGCAAGCTGAGAAATAACTGTACTACACGTCCTCACTAGGGCAGGTAAAATTTGGGGGGCTTTCCACAGCATGATAGGCCCCTTAAAAAAAAAAAAACCTGACTCTTGCCTAGAATGTTCTGCATCCTCGACAAAAAATAAATAAATAAATAAATGCTCATTCTCTCTCTGTAGCTTTACTAATTCACCCATAGTCCTTACTCATCCTTCACATTCAGTGAGAGTATTAATGTTGCTACCTACTTCCACGAAAAGGAAATAACAACATTCATTCACTCAACAAATCAATATTGAGCACTCGCTGTGTGCAAGGAATTAGAGAAGCAAGCAGTGAGCAAGACAGCAATGATCACTGCCCTCATGGAGCTGGACGTGAGGAGATTCTGGCAGGGGATCAATCACTACAAAACTAGCTGCACAATTAAACATTCAAAATCTCAATAAGGGCTTTGTAGGAGAAGCAGAAGAGATGTTAACATGGAACAGTTATTCCTGCAAGTCTGGGGGAATCAGAAAAGGCCTTCCTCAGGAGAACAGATGCCTGACCTGAGATCCAAAACACACATACTAGTTTAAACAAGAAAAAAAAAAATACTCCAGTAGTTCTCCAAGTGTGGTCCCCAGAGCAGCTGCATCAATCATCACCTGAAAATTGCTAGAAATGCAAATTCTCAGACCCTCTCCAGACCTCTTGAATCAGAACCTCTGGGTGGGGTGGGGGACCCCAGAAATCTAAGCTTTAACGCACAATCCAGGTGATCCTAATGACCATCCTCATGGTCCTAGACAAGGGGAAGAGCACATATGAAGGTTATGAAGAGGGGGGTAGGAGGGGAAACTTGGTCCATCTTAGTATCAAAAAGATTAATGCAGTTGGAGCAGAGAAACCAGGAGGACAGTTGATTAAGAGGAGGGGGAAAGACAAGCATGGAATCTGTTCAGGCATCCTAGTGGACATGAAGTGGTACCATGCTGCAGTTTTGATTTGCATTTCCCTAATGACTAATGATGTTTAACATCTTTCCATGTGCTTATTGGCCATTTTTGTATCTTCTTTGCAGAAATGTCTATTCAAGGGATTGTGCTCATTTTTAATAGAGTCGTTGGGTTTTTCTTGTTGAGTTTTAGGAGTTCTCTATATACCTGAAAGAGTTGAAGTGGGGTCTTAAAGAGAGATCTGTATGCTTATGTTCACAGCAGCATTATTCACAATAGCTAAAATGTAGAGGCAGCCCAAATGTGTACCAGTAGATAAATGGATAAGCAAACTGTAGTATATACACACAATGCCATGTTATTCAGCCTTAAAAAAGAAGGACATTCTGACCTGAAATATGACACGATGAACTTTCACATTATGCTGAGATAAGCCAATCACAAAAAGACAAATTATATGAGGTACTCAGAATAATCAAATTCATAGAGACAGAAGGTAGAATAGTAGCTGCCAGAGCCTGGAGGGAGAAAGGGAATGGGGAGCTGTTGTTTAATGGGAACCAAGTTTCAATTTTACAAGATGGAAAGAGTTCTGGAGGTGGATATTGGTGATGATTGAACAACACTATCAATGTATATAACTCCACTGACCTGTACACTTAAAAATGGTTAAGGTGGTGAATTTTATGTTATGTGTATTTTACTACAATAAAAAAATGGGGGGAAAAGAGAGTAGATCACCTTAGCTATTCTGTATAGAGTGGGTGAGGAGGTAACCATGAATAGATGTGGGAAGATTTGGCAAAAAGTTCTTGCATTAGTTGTGACGAAAGATGACGGTGGCTTTGACTAGGGAGATGGTGATACAGGTCATATAAGTGGACAAACTTGAAGTGCATATAGGAGGTAATATCTACAAAGCCTGATTTCTATTAGGTGGTGAGGAAGAGTGAGGAATCAAAATCTGCACATCCACCAACATGTCACCCCTGGCTATATCCATCTGTATTTTTATCTCCACATCTAATCCCTCTTGTATTCACAGACCACGTTCAGAGCAAAGATACATACATAAATATGGCTCAGGTTAAAAATCCTCTGGATTCACCTCAGGCACAAATTCCCATAAAAAGCAAATAGGAAGACAAAGGAATGACCTGAGAATTCCTACTAGCCAACTTATGATCTTTAGGCAGTGAGACACTTTACCGTAGTAATTTCCAGAAGCCTTCTTCCTCACCATGGATCTTGAGTGTATCATATGAAACTGACTTATAACAATGGCTGAGTTCCAGGCAAGGCTACTGTAGAAGTTCCTCAACCAGTAATCCCTAAACTCTGGCCTTTAAAAAAAAAAAAAAATAAATTCCCTGGACATACATATGTGTTACTGGCTGAATAAGATGGAAATACAGAAGGGAAAAGATGACCATTAGTGATCTCTGTAAAAAGGAGCCAATATATTGCCTCTGAATGTCAAAATGAATGGAAAGTACATTGCAAGAAAGAAGAGCCAGCACTCTCCCTCCAGTTTGCTTTGAGTGATGCCATCAGGAAACAGCTTGGAGTTCAGCTCTGCTCTGAAAGCACCGAAGGGTTCACGGCAGCTGTTCCACAGGCCCTGCCACCAAGGGTGAGTCTGAAGTTCTAGGGAGTGGAGAGTTTGGGCTGCCCTGGGACGTGCCCAAAAAATTCTAGTAATCTAGTGGAAAAATCAACATGCCTCCAGGAAGGTTGACAAAATGATGGAAAATCCCAGATTGTTAAGAGGGGGAGGGGATAAAATGTTGATTACATAACATCCAGCTCTTCAAACAATGGAGTAATCATCAAATGAGTCACCAAGAAAGACATCAGTGCTGCCCCTTTGTCCCCACTCTACATGCCCAAGAACAGCTAAGTGTCAGGTCCAGAAATGTCCCCACTTAGAGTAGAAGTCAGGTTGACCTCAGAGAAAGGGACCTTTTTTTTAATGGCCTAAGGGCAGTCCTTTTCAAAGGGACAACTACAGCATCCCCACCTCCTAGCACAGAGCAGAACCCAGGAGTCAATCAACAAATGTTTAGTTAATTCAATGTTTTCCAAATTTGAATCAACTTTCCTTCCCTTCACTCCCGTCCAACACAAATTCATGAACTTGAACTGTGTGGGTTTTGTTTTGTGTGTTTGTTCCCACTATTGATTTATGATTCGATGAAAAGAACTTTACTGATGGCGGAAATTGGCCAGGACAACACATGTGGAAAATACAGGCCAGGCCAAATGCACAAGCGGTGTTTGGGTTACAAGCTGCAACTGAAGGCCAGTATTGGCTGGGAGGCCCCACGCATCTTCTACACAGAAGATGCCAAGGTGATGTGAAGGCTAAGGATGACAAGAGAAAGCCCGAGAAAGAGGTTTCCTGGAGTCTGCTTCCTATAATCCTGCACACTCAGGCAGTATGGTCTGGACAGGACCGCTGGGCTGACAACTCTCCGTGCAGGTTCCTGCTTCCTGTTAGGGAACTAGTCTTTCCCGGCTCTCGCTTGCTCTCTCCAAGAGAAGCAGCTGGAATGACTTTTGCCTGTCTACCTCAATGCCATCTCCAAAAGCCTGGTCCGCATGCTGTCAGCTGCAGCTGCACAGCGCCCATCAGCTCTGCCCCTGGCTGCTGGATCTCTTGGAAAAGTGCTCACAGCCCAGCTGGTTGGCAAAGGCCAACCCTGCACACTCGGGACACCTGCATTTAGACTTGATGAGGTCAGGAGAAGGCGTGTCATTGCCCTTGGACCAAAAGGATTCAGACAGGAAAGTCAGAACTTTCCTCCCTTGTTAAACAGTGTGGAATACTGGTTAAAAAAAAAAAAAAAAAGCAAACCCCCTCTCCAAGTGAGTGAACAATTAGCCAGGATTGTCTCTATCAGGAGCCTGGGCATTGCATTTAAATGATGATGAATAATCAAATTTGAAAGCAGACATCAATCTAAGAGATTAAACTCTCTTCATAGAAACTATGAATGCAAAAATTCCCCCTCTGGTGCTAGTTTGTGATTGCAGCAGTTCTCTTAATTACACTGATCAACAACAATAAGGAAATCATTACACAGGTGGAGAGACTATGACCTGGGGTAGCCCAAGCAGGCATCTCTGTCATTCTTGCTACATTTTTATCTCATTACCTGTTCTAATATTTTTGCCTCAGGTACCAAAGATTTCTAATTTTATGGATGGCATCTAGAAATTAATCAATGCCCCCCCCCCAGAAATTCACTAACTGCATTCCATGGACAAGAACTAAAGTTGCCTTTGTGTTAATATTTGTAATTGCAGTATTTGGACTCAAATAACACATTTGTCTCAAAATGCTGAGGACCTGACCCAAAGACAGATGATGCCAATACACTGGAGACTCTAAATATAATACATGACAAACTGAAGACACTGCGAGCATATTGGATTTCCTACCCAGGGCTTATTCCTCAGGACCCTAACTGTGAGTTAATATGTATAAGAATCACCCCGAGTTTCAGAGAAAAGAGTTGTACAGAAGCTGGTGAATGAGTAACAGGTCCCAAACTCTTGTCTTACCAAGCCTGCACAGTATCGAGGCGGAAATGAGCAGAGAGCACTCCCTGAATCGGTAGGGGCATAATGAAGCCGGGGCATTCTGAATGCATGGAAACATCTGCTCATTTTGCATTGTGGCCTGACCCTGAAGAAAAGTTTATACACACCCCATGGATGTTTTAAGTCAAATGTGGAACAACAGTTTCAATTCACTTATATGTAACTCAAGGTTAAGGGCTGTTCGATGTCCAAGAACCTGTCCAGGATGTTTTCATGTGACTTTTCATGCCCTTCTGTTAAGCTGTTT